CTCTTCTGCTCATCTAGTTGCTTTTTCAATTCCTAAATTGTTGATATGACTTGTTTTGGATCTCACTGAGTTTTTTCAGAAGCACCATCCTGAATTCTTTGTCACTTAAGTTGCATGTTTCTATGTCTGTAAGCTTATTTTCTGGAGATTTTTCTTCTTCTTTCTGAAATGACTTGTCACCTTGGTTGTTTATGGTGTTTAATGGACTATTTCTCTTCTGGGCATTAATGGAAATGTATTCTGCTGTGGTAGCTCTTATGCACAGATCTCATGCTCAGACGTGCTGGTGTGAAGTTTAGGTGTTTTTTGTTGAGTTTTTGATGTTCAGCTTATTATTGTTTCAAGAAGAGAGATCTGGTGACATCTCTCACTCAGCCATGTTTCTCCACACTTCAATTAGTTAGATATTTTAATAATGTAATAAGCACCTGCAAAACTATCACTCAAGACAATAATTGACTTCTAACCATTTTCTTTCCTCATTCCTGTTCCCTAACTTGCCCTACCTGAGGAAATCATAATCTTGAAAATCAAGCTTTCTTATTTATATAACATTTTAAAAAATATTCTATGTGCACCTTGGTATATATATTTAAACAATTTTAGTCATTTTTAGTTTAATAAAAAAGAATATCCTCCAATGTAATGTTTTGGAATTGTTCATTTAATATTATTTTGGTAAGATTTATCCATGTTTTAGTAGGTCTCTGTGGTTTATTACTTTTGAGTGCTATATAAAATTCCTTTTTGTAATATGGCATAGGTTTGTGTCTATTCCTTTATTAATGATGAGCGTTTGGGTTGGTTTAAGTTTATGCAGTTAAGAGCAATTTTTATCAATTAAATAGTATCTCCTTGTGGTTTTGATTTGTATTTTTTTGTTCTCTAATAATGCTGATCATACCTTTGTGTAAATATTGGCTATGTTTATTTTATCTTCTGTGAAATGTATGTTACTTTCTGTCTGATTTGATTGAAACCTTCGTGATTTCTTATTGATTTGTAAGTGTTCTTTATGTATTCTTGATTCTTATTTGTGTTGATTTTGTGTAAATCAAGTATCTCTCCTAGTATTTAATTTATATTTTTTCATTATAAAGACATCTTTTAATGAACAAAAGATTTAGATTTTAATAAATTTAAACTGATAATCTTTTTTTATGTCACTATTTTTTTCTGATTTAAGAAAACATTTCTTACTCTGAGATCAGAAAGATATTTACATATATTTTCCATTAACAACTTCAAAGTTTTTTACTTTAAGATCACAATTGATCTGGAGTTGGTTTTTGAAAAAATGTTATGCTAATTTCATCTTTTCCCATAAGAGTAGCCATTTTCCTTATTCCCATTTACTGAAAAGTTCCTTATTTCCTGGCTCTCTGACATGCTACGTTTGTTATCTACCAGAGTTCTAGATATGTGTAGATCAGTTACTCAGTTCTCAGTCTTCTTCTATCTCTGTGCCAAAGTTGCTGTCTTAACTAAATCTTCATAAGAACTCCTGAAATTAGGTAAAGCAGGTTCATTCTTCCTGCTATTTCTCAGAAATATTCCATCTATTTTTAGTCCTTTTCTCTTTAGAATCATATTTTCAAATTTTGTAAAAATTTTATTAGAATTTTGATTAGAATTAAATTGAATCTTTAGATCAATTTTAGAGCGAATATCTTCAAAATACCTTCTTCCAATCTATGAACATGATATATTTCTCCATTTTTCTGGGTCTTGATAACATTTTATTCTTTTCCTTGTAAGAGTCTTACTACATGTCTTCTATTAGTTCTTTTCATAAGCATTTGATATAATATTTAAATTTCATCTATTTCAGCTTCTCTTTCTTATATTTATTAATGAATCTAAGATTTCCCCCATATTTCTGCATTTGCAAGTTTTTATAAGACTTCAATATAATAATACATAGTTTTGCACCTAATTATTTGTCCCTAAAATGTCTTAAAAGTAGGTTCCTTTCTTTTGGATGTAATCATTTTTTAAAATTGAAATATTTTAGAGAATTAAATTAGAAAAATGATCAACAGCATTTTGGTTAGGCAAAAAGAAAAGGATTTAAATAGCTATTATTTCCCCTCTACAAATGAGATTTTCTGCATTGTTGTGGGAATAAAGAGGAAGCAGGAACAATTAAGTGATGTTTAATGGTTTATGTATTTTTAGCCCATAGATACTGTGCACATGGAGAAAGAAAATGTGGCAGCTTACAGTGTATTTCACAAAACTGGATCTTTACATAGTTATTGCCTCATTAAATAGCATAGATTTTTAGATTAAGTCAGCATCCATTATGTAAATCCTGTATTTTTTAATGAAATTATACACACACACACACACACACACACACACACACACACACATATGCACACATTATTTTTATTCATGGGACCACTGGAAGGTACCAAATATTTTGGTTTAAGTTAAAATTAAGCATCATAAATATATACAATATTGAATTACCTTCCTATATGGTCAGCATAGAAGAATTTGTGATTTTTTTGATAGTTGAAAGAAGATTAGCCTTCCTGGGATTTGGATCAACATTGTCCATGTAATGAAGAACAGACTGTATTACACAAATTTTTCAGCTGTTGCCAACTCTCTAGATTTTTTTTTATTGCAGAAGAAGTCATTGAGACCAATTACCAGAAGAAAATGCAACTGAAACAGAAGAAGAAAATGCGAATACTGGGCCAATCATTTCTGACTGGCTTCCTTGTGACATAACTACACATAAAGTGGGCTTCTTCACTAACATTGTTCTTGCCTGAATTTAGATGTGTCATGGACATATCTAAATTCTAATGTTTCCACAAATATATTTACAAACGGATTGCATTTGAAAGTAAAAGTATTTATCTTTCTCAATCAGAATATCATGGAAAAGAGAGTGTAACCCAATCATTTAAAATAATTTTCATAAATCATATGTAAAATATATGCTTCCATATGAGCAATCTGAAGTGTTGGGGGTAAAATTGGCCTGTGGCAATACACACATAAAGTCTTTTAACTGAGTATAAATTTAGCTGCCTTTCAGTTTTTAGTAAGTTTGTTTTTTTCTTCTTTTCTGAAGAAAGAAAGCTAAAAGTTTCAAACCAAAAGAATTGTGAGGAAGATGGAAGAAAGCAGTTTATAGGACGACAAATGAACTCCCAGTTCATAAAACTTTATCATTTAAACCAAGAGAAAAATGTTTTCACTTGCAAAAATTAAATTCATAAATGATGGAATAATCTACATTTACATATATTTTTATTTTAGTTATATGTTTTAATATGAGCAACATAATAATTTTTAGAAAGAAAATTATGTAAATTGTGTAAATTATTTTTCAATTTTTCTACAACTAATATATACTTTTGCATCATTCAAAGAGGTCAATTTTATTTTTAAAACATACTAAATAAAAGTCTTTTAAACTAAAAAAAAAATATATATACACACACACACAAAGTAATGAAAGAAAATATAAAAGTTTATATAATATTTATTTGATTTGTTACTGGTTTGAAATTCCCCTGTATGAAAATACTTAGAAAATATAGACCTAGAAATATGCATAACATTTTGTTTTAAATTTAACAGTAAAGAAGAATCATCAGTAACATCATATGAGAATAACTTTGAGAATTCAAAGATTACAGGTAATCTTTCTTATTTAATTTTAAACAAAATCTATCTGTTTTATTATAGTCTACAATTATAACAATCTTACATAGGTACAATTATATTAATTTTTCAGATACCTATATCCCCAAAATTATTTGTTCTCATGAGGAGAAGGAAGACTTGGAAACCTGTAATCAAAATGTAAAAGATGCAAACAAGGAACATGATGAACATAATGAAAAAGAATTAGAGTTAATGGTAAGTGTTCTGGTTGCCACGGTATTAGAAAAGATGAATCCATTTATGCTTCAAGGATACTACAACGCTGGCCTTTCAATAGCTTTAACTAATATAATTTGCAAATGTGAAAGCACAGCCTATTCTGTTCTTGTATCTAACTTGATCAACAGGGCACTTTGATTTCGGTATGCTGCTTCTGATCTCTGCAGTGGTAAATTAATGACATTCATGTCTTATCTCTTTACCAGCAGTTCTGAGTAATAGTTTGTATGAATTACAGAAGAAGTAGCAATATCCTGATGTGCCTTTCTAATCTTTGTGACAAGTTTACACTTAGCATAAACTTGTCTGTAAAATGAGAGGACTGGACTAGATGATTGTTAGAGTTCTGTCCATCTCTACAAGTATTGAATTTAGCAGCATTTTTTTTTTTACTTCCATCTTTGAGAATCTCAAACTTCCATATCATTGGAAAATCTTGAATTACCAAATAAACAGAAAATATCCTGTGCTATATTTTAAAACAGTAAACAAGTTCAGTACTGTATAATTTAGAATTAAATTTGTTATAAATTTCACACTTGGTGGACATTCAATCTATTTGGAATTTTAGGAATATGGTTGAGATAACATTTTTATTACAAAAGAAGAAATAGGAGTAAACAAGTCATAAAATTCAACTTATCTTTTGCCTCTTTAAGTGTCAGTGCTGAAACAGAAAAGAAAAAGAGCTCATCTCTTTCCCCACACATTCCCCCTTTTCTATAGTGATATAGAAGCTGAGTCACTAAAGTATGCAATTTACTTTGCTTCACCTTTAAGAAACTACAAAGTTGTCATTCAGTGTGAGAATTCTCACCAGCTGAAAGTGAACATCGCCATTTTTTCTCAAACCACAGACTATAATGAAAGGGCCCTGAAAAATCATATACTTCACCAATACACCGCATTACAATGAGCAGGCTCAAATATAAAAGTTGTTTAGAAGTTACTGAGATTGTACATCCAATAAATGAACTCAGAGCTATAATTTAGATGCTAATTTGCTCCATGCTGATGTTAATGCATAAAACAATGAAGCTCTATAATAGATGGAAATACAACCAAATCTGTAGAACCCACAGGCATTGGCTTACAAGACAGCTGTGCAGTTGACAAGTAACATGAGCCTTATGTGAGAAGAAGGGGAAAACGTAAGATTTGCATATAATTATTGAGATCATGCAAATGTCAGTTATGAGGGGGAAAAAAAAAAAACAGGCATCTCACTGTTAAATCCTGACAGTTGGCATCACTGAAGAGCTCAAATACATTTGAGTACCAGTTGGCAGAGGGTCATTAAAACAGAATTTGCAGAGACATTAACTCCCTCACTTTTCTTTGAGTGACGTTTTGCTATTAATAGTTTGCAGAGGTTTTGCAGAAAACATATTAATAAGAGAAACTGTAATAGGGACACCTATAGCAACTGTGAATGCAGCAAGGGGCACCCAGGAAGCTGCTCTCTAATTGATTAGCATGGAGCTATCAATGTGTATATCCTAAGTAAGGAGAAAGTGAAATGACAAGTAAGAATAGTTGAATAATACAATGTGATGTTTGGAAGCTGGGAAAGAGAGTGATTAATTTTGGCCCCTTTTCTTATTAATCTCATTCCCAAGTCATAGCCTACAAGGATCTCCCCCAAAATATTGGGCTTCTAGAATTTGTGCTACATCCACAAACGAAATGAGTTAAGGAAATTTAGCAGATAATTAGTAGCTAAGTTAATGAAAACTATAATTTATTTTGTATATTTAAAATCATTTGGTCATTATTTCTTGCTTTTATTCCTCAAGATAAAACAACGCTTAATAAGAAGTACGGTTTCCAGAGATGAAAAGAATACATTTTCAATGGATCCAGTCAATTTTCCAAATAAAGCTGAGAGGTTAGAGAAGAAGCATATCCATGATGAAGTACACACTGACTTGTTTAAAAGGACTTTGTCTCCAAGTTTATCAGCAGAGAGCTCCTTAAAGGGAAATTTTCCTGGCAATGAAAAATATTCTACAGAAAAAGAGTATAGTCATCAACCTTCAGAGGAAATTACTTCATGTATGAGGAAAAGGAAGTCACCATTGAGAAATACTAGCAGTGATGAATTAGTGCAATTACATATCAGCAACAAAGAAGTATTGGATGATAATGCTAATCCAGCCCAAAGGAGAGGCAGAGTGCAAATAACTTGTCCCTCCTCAGATCAACTAATGGCAGACAATCTTAATACAAAACATGAAGGGGGAGTTAAGAAAATTAAAATAAAAGATTGGAAATGTTTAAAAAGAGATTTCCATTCGGATTTCCATTCAGAAGAATCAATAGAAAAGGAATCTTCCAAGAAAGATTATGGGAATGGTAAGAATGAGAAAGAGAAACAAAGAATACATTTAGGTGATAATGGAAAGCAAAGCAAAAATTTTCAGTCAATCTTACATGACCAAAAAAAGGCAAGACACTCTGAAATAAGTGTGGAAGGGGTTGGAGCTAGTAACAGAGAACTAACTGTGCTGCTGAGTAAAGATACCACAACCTCTAACCAGGCAATCAGAGCAGATTTGTTTCATTCACCAAAAAAAAATCTAAATTTGGAAGAAGCTGTGCAAACAATCCCAGAGCCTGATCTCTTGACTACTAAAGGCACTACTTTAGAAGGGATGACTGGTCAAGTTCATTCACCAAGAAATGGAAATGTTTTGAGGAATGAATATCTTTTCCAAGTCGGAGAAGGAAATCTAGATTGGGTTAATCCCGAGGATCAGAATACGAGCACACAGCATAAACAATGTCAGAATTTTCTGGAAATTCAGGGAAAAGTAAGAGAAAGTAAGACAAATATAACAGAGCAGATCAAAGAACAAGCAGATTATGAAGATATATGGGGGGGAAAAAATAATACGAAGAGTTTGAAAGTTACTCCTACAGAAGAATTGTTTACCTGCCAAGAAACAGTGAGCTGTGAACTGTCTTCTCTAGCTAATCATGGTATTACTGAGAAAGCAGAAGCAGATACAGCTTATATAATTAAGACAACATCAGAAAGTACTCTAGAAAGCATGTCTGCTAGAGAAAAAGCAGTAATTGCTAAGCTACCTCAAGAGACAGCACAGAGTGACAGGCCCATCGAGGTAAAGGAAACTGCATTTGATCCACATGAAGGGAGAAATGATGATTCACATTATACCCTTTGTCAAGGAGATACAGTAGGTGTAATCTGTGACAATGATTTTGAAAAGAAATCATGTTTAGGCATTTGTAATGTACATGCAGATGAAATGAAAAAGAAAGAAACCATATCTGTGTACAATCCTGGGAACTTACATGATAGGAAGAAACTTCGCATTGGAGATATAACATCTGCAGAAGAATCCTTCCAGTTCATTACAGGCAATGAAAAAGTAGCCTCAAATCTGGATTTGCATTTCAGAATGTTGCCAACAGACAAAAAAATATTTCCAGAAAATAGAGATCATGGGCAGGTCCAAGAATTATCAAAGGAAACGAGTATAGATGGCATTACTCATTCTGCTTTAAACGCAGACACTAATAGAGTTCCTGGGAATGGCTCCCATGTTTCCGATCACCATGCTAAAACTCCAGTATCATCTTATGAACAGTCAATTGCTGTAGAGAATTCAATTGCTACCATGATCCTTCAATCTATCCCTACTAAATCAGGATATAATTATAATCCAGCAAGTGACATCCAGGGTATTGAGAAGAACCCATATTCTGGGTCTATACTTGAAGAAGTTCCCAAAAGTTCAGGTAGTAGGAGAGAAAGATGTATAGGCCAGATTTTCCAACAAGAAGAAAGCAATGTAGAAAAATCTCTAGGGCCAACAATTTTAATCAGTGAAGCTATTGAGAACATGGATAAAAATGAAGAATTAATAAACTCTGGACAATCACTGTGCTTCTCAGGTGACAAGGAATCCGAGAACTCTGCTACTGCTAATCTCTCTGCCCAAGAAAGTCAAGCTCAAAGCAGTGAATCTCTGCTTTTGAAATATGCCAACTCTAAAATACCTTATTTTCTTTTGTTTCTGATATTTCTTATAACCATCTATCAGTATGACTTAATGATTGGATTGGCATTCTATCTTTTTTCATTGTACTGGCTATCCTGGGAAGGGGGGAGACAAAAAGAGTCTGTCAAAAAGAAGTAATATCAGCACTATTATAATTCTCTCTTCAAAGATAAGCTATTCAGCCCCAAACATTTGGATTGGTGAAAAAGACTATTCATTGTTCAAAGAGCCAGTGCAGTTTTTCTCTCGAAGGATCATTTAAAAAAGAATGTGTATGAAGTTGCTCTTTTATATAAGTAATTATTCTATATAGGACCATTATGTTTGGATCATTAAATACCTATATGAATATGAGATCTGAAGCACATCAAGTTGAAATTAGGTACAGCTGTTGCTCCTTAGCACGCTATGAAGTTGCAATGCTTCATGTCTCTTCACTACTTAGAGTGCCAATTCTTGCATTCATTTCTTTTGCAGTAAAGCTTCATTTTTTTTTTCCCCCCAGAGAGTATTTTTCCCTCTATGGTTTTTAAAAATAGATAAAACATGGATGATAGCAGATGATTTTTTTTGGCCTTTTAGTATTGACCATGAAATTTGCATTTACCACTGTGTCATTTATGAGCACATTTTGATAGATCAAATCCTCAACTCTAATATTTTTAAGAACAACACATATGTATAGTAAAATGTGTAAACTTAAATTGAAGAAACATGTTGTTTTCTTTACACACACCCATATACATACCCTTTACCTCCCTTATACCTACAAAGTTGGGGCATTCATAAATCAAATCTGGTAGACTGAAACAATTGGGAGATGACCTTTTGATTCTACAAAATTTTTTGAGTGTCCTGTCTTTAAGCAATTTTTCTCTTATAAAAAGAGACTATTTAACACAGTTGAACATTTTCAACCTCAACCATTATTCAGAGTTGAAAATTTTAAAGTTCTACAAGCATTACTTTAGAAGGAATTTCTACCTATAAAGCATAAAGCATTAATGATAATAATAATTTAAAATATTCCAAAGGAACTATTCTACTTGGTAGTATTTTTTTTCCTCAAACAAATTTTTAACCTTTTCTCATTATATGACAATAATTATTCCTCAAGGTACATTTAGACAACAAACAAGTAATCATTAGTTATATTATATAATTATCGGGTTGTTAGCTGATAGCTCAAATGTTAAAGTAGGCAAATAAATCGATATGGAAATCTACTGAGGGAGAAATGAATATCTACTAAAGCAGTGATTTTGGCTGCCGTTGTTGTTTATGACTAAGTCCGTGAAATAATGAAACTAGTCATTTTAGTCACGTGGGGTAATTCAAAAATTCTTATACAACTAATTTCAATGACCATTTACTGAATAACTGCTATATACAGAACCCTGTGCTCTGTTCTATGGCAGAACACTTCCTTTGATACCCTGAATGGCTAGTCCTCAGGGAGGAGATATAAGTATGTAGTTTCACACTTTTGACATGGTCAGGAATACGGAAGAGAGTTATATCAAGGGAGCACATTTGGGTGATTTATTTTTCATGAAACTTCTTTCATAAAGCATGTAGCATTGATCTTCAGAGAGAAAATTAATGTGTAGCTAATAAGTAATATATATAATCATCCCATACTTCTAAAACGCATGCAATTATGGGAGGACAAAATGAGAATGAAACATTTTAACTGACTTTCACATGGTAGTAAACGAGTTTCTTCATTTTCTTTAGGTACACAACTATTTCCAAATCCCTTAATTGCATGCTTGTCTCGAGTCCCATTGAAATTAAATACTTGACTTTAACTTTTTAGTTTAGCAAATAAAATATCCTGAAGGAGAATTTATGGCAAAAATTTGATTGAAAAAGCACATTTTCATTAAATACAAGTGGAATACTGTAGGCTATACCTAGAATATTATCTCTAAAATTGCTGTCCTGATAACTTTATTGACAAATCTAAATCACAATGGAGTTAAGGTCAGCATTTCTACAGTCCTTAATAGCTTGGTTTTTGCATTCTACCTTTAAGAGTTTCAGTTAATATGCCATATCTTATTAATGCAAAGAACACTACATTGCTGCATGAACACAAGTGCACAAACTGCAATTATTCCTTTATACATTAAAGAATATAACTTCTTTTACCTCTTTTATTTGACTTTGGTAATATTAACACTAAACGTTCTCATGAATGTTTATAACATGACAATAGAACTTTCAAAGGATTTAAATACTTAAATACTGCATGTAAAAAAAAAAAAATGGTGATTTAACTGACTTTCCAAACATTGCTTATGAAGAATTTGAAATAGTCATAAGAATTTACAAAACTATTGTGAGGTGGAGAGGTAGAGTTTTGTAATATGTTTTGGTCACATCATTATGCTGAATAAAAAGAAAAGTAGATCTCAGGAAGAACTTGCAATTCCTGGTTAACCATAAAGAATCATCATGGCAAAGATGATCTCTATAAACATAACTGCCTTCACTGTGTCTTCTCAAGTATTGATTAAGAGCCAAAAGAGGGTGTGGCCTGAGAAGAAGTCAAGGAAAATGCATTGCACATTTTCTTCTTATAGTGGGTAAGAAATCTGATATAATAACCATCACCTTTTATCTTGCTGGGCTTCTGACTATTAGAAACAAAATTCTATATCTCGAATGGCAAGTCAAGCAAGTGTAGGTAGTAAAATAAACTATTGAAAAAAATCAAAACTGTGTAAACCATCAATATCTCAATATATTTTTCAATGTAAGAAGAAATGAGTCATTGAAATGGCATTCACCCTTCAACGTTCAAGAGCATTAGATTAATGTAGTCATATTTCCCTACTGAGCTCCAATATTTTAATAGTAAATTATTTCAAATGATATATATATGATATATATCTCAAAGGATATAT